CTACAAAAGAATCAACTAAACACAAAAGAAGACAGTAATGCAGGAAATGAGGGTCAAAAAGTATGACATAGAGAAAACAAATAGCAAAATGACCAAAATAAGTTCCTTCTTAACAGTAATTACTTTAAATATACATGGATTAAACTCTCCAATCAAAAAACACAGATTGGCAGGAAGGATTTTTTTTAAAGATTTTATTTATTTATTTGACAGAGAGAGACACAGCAAGAGAAGGAACACAAGCAGGGGGAGCAGGAGAGGGAGAAGCAGGCTTCCCACGGAGCAGGAAGCCTGATGCAGAGTTCAATCCTAGGACCCCGGGATCATGACCTGAGCCAAAGGCAGATGCTTAACCAACTAAGCCAGCCAGGTGCCCCATGGTAGAAAGGATTTTTAAAACATGATCCACCTAATGTTGTCTACAAAAGACTCACCTTAGATCCAAAGATATAAATAGGTTGAGAGTAAAAGGATGAAAAAAGATATTCCATGCAAATAATAACCAAAGAGAGAAAAGTGGCTATACTAATATCAGACAAAATAGACTTTAAATAAAAAAATCTTATGAGAGAGGGCGCCTGGGTGGCTCAGTCGGTTGGGCGTCTGCCTTCGGCTGAGGTCATGATCCCAGGGTCCTGGGATTGAGTCCCACATTGGGCTCCCTGCTCTTCAGGTAGTCTGCCTCTCCTCTTCCCTCCCCTCCCCTACTCATGCTCTGTCTCTCTCGCTTACTCGCTATATCTCTCTCTCAAATAAATAAATAAAATCTTGAAAAAAATCTTATGAGACAAAAAAGGACATTATATATTAATAAGAATTTCAATAGAACAAGAAGATAGAAAATTATCAACATTTAGGCACTTTATAACAGAGGATTAAATATATGAAACAATAATTACCAGAGTTAAAGGGAGAAATAGACAGTCCTACAATAATGATTAAAGACTTCAATACTCTCCTGCCAATAACAGATAAAACAACCAGGCAGAAGATTAAGTAAAGAAAGAAAACTTGAACAACACAATAATCTAACTAGATCTAACAGATGTACAGAATATTCCACCCAATAAGAACAGCACGTACATTGTTCTCAAGTGCACCTGGGACATTTTCTAGGACAAACCATATGGTAGACCACAAATTAAGTACTGAAAGATTTTTTAAAGATAGATATCATACAGGGGCGCCTGGGTGGCTCAGCCACTAAGTGTCTACCTTTGGCTCGTGTCATGATCCCAGGGTCCTGGGATCGAGCCCTGCATCAGGCTCCCTGCTCTGTGGGAAGCCTGCTTCTCCCTCTACCACTACCCCCTGCTTGTGTCCCCTCTCTCGCTGTGTCTCTCTGTGTCAAATAAGTAAATAAAATCTTTTTAAAAAGATAGATAACACAAAAAGTAACTTCTCCAACTATATTTGGATGAATTTAGAAATCAAAAGAAGGAAAACTGGGATATTCACAAATTTGTTGAAGTCAAACAACACACTCTTAGACAATCAATGTATCAAAGAAGAAATCACAAATGAACTTAGAAAACACTTAGAGATGCATGAAAACAAAACTACAACACATCAAATTTATAAGATGCAGCAAAAACAGTGCTAAGGGGAGAATATATAGCAATAAATGCTTATATTAAAAAACAGGAAAGATCTCAAATCAACAATCTAACTTTACAATGTAAGGAACCAGGAAAGAAAAATAAACTAAACCCAAATCTAGTGGAAGGAAGGAAATAATAAAGATTAAAGCAGAGATAAATGAAATAGAGAATAGAAAGACAATAGAGAAAATCAATGAAATCCAAAGCTGGTTCCTTGAAAAATCAACAAAACTGACAAACCATTAACTAAATGGACAAAGAAAAAAGAAAGAAGACCCAAGTTACTAAAATCAGAAATGACAGTGAGGACATTACTACTAATTATACAGAAATAAAAAGGATTATAAGAGAGTACTATGAACAGTTGTATGCCAACAAATTGGTTAGCCTCGATAAAATGGACAAATTCCTAGAAACACAAAACCTACCCAGACTAAGTCATGAAAAAATTAAAAAATCTGAATAGACCTCATAACTGCTAAAGAGACTGAAGCAGCAGTAAAAAAAAAAATCTCCCAACAAAGAGAAACATGGACCTCATGCCTTCACTGGTGAAGTCCATCAAACATCAAATGTTGGAGAGGTTGTGGAGAAAGGGGAACCCTCTTACACTGTTGGTGGGAATGCAAGTTGGTACAGCCACTTTGGAAAACAGTGTGGAGGTTCCTCAAAACTTTAAAAGTAGAGATACCCTATGACCGAGCAATTGCACTACTGGGTATTTACCCCAAAGACACAGATGTAGTGAAAAGAAGGGCCATATGCACCCCAGTGTTCATAGCAGCAATGTCCGCAATAGCCAAACTGTGGAAAGAGCCGGGATGCCCTTCAACAGATGAATGGATAAAGAAGATGTGGTCCATATATACAATGGAAGATTACTCAGCCATCGGAAAGGATGAACACCCAACTTTTACATCCACATGGATGGGACTGGAGGAGATGTTGCTAAGTGAAATAAGTCAAGCAGAGAAAGTCAATTATCATATGGTTTCACCTATTTGTGGAACATAAGGAATAGCTTGGAGGACATTAGGAGAAGGAAGGGAAAAATGGGGGGGGGAATCAGAGGGAGAGACGAACCATGGGAGACTATGGACTCTGAGAAACAAACAGGGTTTTAGAGGGGAGGGAGGAGGGGGGATTGGTTAGCCAGGTGATGGGTATTAAGGAGGGCACGTACTGCAGGGAGCACTGGGTGTTATATGAAAACAATGGATCGTGGATCACATCAAAAACTAATGATGTATTATATGGTGATTAACATGACATAATAAAATTTAAAAAATACATTTATTTTAATTTTTAAAAGATTTCATTTATTTATTTGACAGAGAGATAGATAGAGAGCACAAGTAGGCAGAGCGGCAAGCAGAGGGAGAGGGAGAAGCAGGCCCCCCACCGAGCAAGGAGCCCAATGCGGGGCTCGATCCCAGGACCCTGGGATCATGACCTGAGCCGAAGGCAGACGCTTAACGACTGAGCCACCCAGGTGCCCCAAAAAACGTTGAATTTAAATGGATGATTTGGATGGTATATGGGTTACATCTCAATAGAGTTATTATTATTTTTTTTATTTATTTGACAGAGAGAGACACAGCGAGAGAGGGAACACAAGCAGGGGGAGTGGGAGAGGGAGAAGCAGGCTTCCCGCCGAGCAGGGAACCCAATGCGGGGCTCAATCCCAGGACCCTGGGATCATGACCTGAGCCGAAGGCAGACGCTTAATGACTGAGCCCCCCAGGTAGCGCCCTCTCCTTGTTATTCTTTATAGGTTCATGAAGACATGAGAAGACTCAGAACTGAATTTTATTCCTCCTGAAACCTGATATTAAAATTCAAATTTCTGATTTTATATTCCCTTCTAGTTTGGGGTGGGGAGAGAAATCTATATACCTTTCTCCACAATTGTCCATTTAAATGCTTGGATTTGTAAATGTTCCATAATGTTTAATCTATTTTCATCTTCATGTTGTCTGTTTTATTTAGATGTTATCTATTACTTAACCAGTATTCTAGTATAATGAACTTCTTTGGGATTTTTGATGTGGGCTTAAGTAGCATTCTGTCAACATTCCTGTTACATATAGGCAAACTATTACTACTAGTAGTATTGTTATTTAGTATAATTTTTTTTTGTGGTCTGATAGGTCCTAACATTCAGTCTGATGTAATTGGCAAACTTTTTCGTTTTACTGTGACCTGTCAATCACACATAGGTTCTGGATTCTCTAGAATTTATATGCAGCACTTTTCCCCAACATCTTATGAAACTTTTCAAATGGAAAGAATTTTATAGTAAACACTCATATATCCACCACCTGGATTCTGCCTTTTAACATATCACTGTGCTTGATTATCATGGTTACCCATTTCTCCCTCCATCCCTCTACCAGACCATTAATCCACATGATTTGTTGTTGCTTTTCAAAGTAAACTGCAGACTTCAGCTGACTTCATTTAAACACATGTGTATCCTTAATTGGAGATAAGTATTTCTTCAGTTTTTCTCTTCTTAAAGATTATTTATATGACAGAGAGAGAGAAAGCAAGAGTGCACAAGCAGGGGGAGGAGCAGAGGGGGAGAGAGAAGCACCTCTTCAGTTTTTCTTTTGAGATAAAATGTACAAATGTACGTTTTGAGGTGAAATGTACAAATCTTAAGTGTAAATTTGTTGACTTTTAACAAGTAAACTCATCCATGTAAACCAAACCTCTAGATATAGAATATTGTCACTCAGAAAGTTCCATTGGGGCGTGGTGCATTTTATTGGAAGCCTTCACAATCTGTTCCCACCTCATCTTGCCATGCTCTCCTCCTCACACTCTTGCTCCAACCATAGTGAGATTCCTTTAAGTCTTGAATTTGATTAATTCTGTCACACGTCACTCCAGGCCTTTGTATCTGCCATTGCTAACTGTGTCATCTCCGGGTTTTAGCTTAAACCTCACTTCCTCCTAGATGTCTGCTCTGACCATGTAGACTAGCTTGAAGCCTTATTTTCACATATTTCCCTATAGTTTCTATGTCACATGGTTTATCATCCTTGTTAAAAATTTGCCTGCTTGTCTGTCTACTGAATATAAGCTTCATGAGGTGAAGGACTGTATTTGTCTTCCTAATGATGATGTTCTCTACATAACACATGCCTGGCCTTCTAAATATTTGTTGAATGGATTAATTCACCGATTTTATAGAATGAAAAAATAATTTTTTATTTCTTCGATTACTAAAGAAACAAATATTTTTATCCTGTTGATTGGCCATCTCTACTTCTGGTTTCTGCCTGTAATTTATTTTTCTATTGGAGCATTTACCTTTTGCTTAACAGTTTATAGGAGCTTTCAACATAGTATGGATATTATCCCTGATGGATGGTTTTCTCTAGTAATTCCCTTATGTTTTGTGTAGCAGATTCTGAGATTGGGAGTAAGAAGGAACTATTCACTCTAAACCAGAAATATTCTGAAGTAAAAGCCCCAGAATTGATGTCAAGAAGACTATCAAGGGGTAATCCACAGGCATTCGAGTTTCAGGAAGCTTGGGACTATGAGAGTAAACTAGAATACCAGGAGAGTTCTATTGGGCAGAATGTGAAGAAACCCCATCTTCATAAGAGAGTTCTTAGGAAAGAAATTGTCATGTATACAGAAGCTCTCCAGGAGAAAAAACACAGGAGTGTGGTGCATTTCATAGGAACTTGAATCTAAACCAAAATGTTTTTTTAATTTTTATTTATTATTTATTTATTTGAGAGAGAGAGAGAGAGCATGAGATGGGGGAGGGTCAGAGGGAGAAGCAGACTCCCTGCTGAGCAGGGAGCCCAATGCGGGACTCGATCCTGGGACCCCAGGATCATGACCTGAGCCGAAGGCAGTCGTTTAACCAACTGAGCCACCCAGGCACCCTAAACCAAAATGTTTTTAGACTTCAAAGAAATAACACAGAAGAAAGAGCCTTTAAATGTAGTATGTGGAGCAAAACCTTCAAATATAATTCAGATCTAACTAGACATCAGAGAAGTCACAATAGGGAAAAGCCTTATGAATGTGGTCAGTGTGGGCACGCCCAAGCCTTATTCTGTACCATGGAGTTCACACTGGAAAGAAACCATTTAAATGTGACGAATGTGGGAAAACATTGGGTCTTAATTCCCACCTCCTTCTGCATCAGAGAATTCAAAATGGGAGAAAAATCTTTTGGGTGTAGTGAATGTGGGAAAGCTTTCAGTCGCAGTTCAACCCTTACTCAACATCATATAATTCATATAGGAGGGAAACCTTACAAATGTCATGAAAGTGAAAAAGCCTTCAGCCAGAGCACACAATTAACACAGCATCAGAGAATTCACACTGGTGAGAGACCCCATGATTGTAATCAGTGTGGGAAGGCCTTCAGTCAGAGCTCAAGCCTTTTCCTCCATCACAGGGTTCATGTCAGAGAGAAGCCCTATGAATGTAATGAGTGCAGCAGAGCCCTTGGTTTTAACTCACCTCATTGAACACGCAAGGATTCATACTGGAGAAAAACCTTATATTTGTAATGAGTGTGGAAAAGCCTTTAGTTGGAGGCCAACACTCATTCAGCATCAAAGGAGTCACATTGGGGAGAAACACTATCAGTGCATTGAATGTGGGGAGGTTTTTTGTCAGAGCTCACAACTCGCCCTATACCAGAGTTCACACTGGAGAAAAACCCTACGGATGTGGTGATTGTGGGAAAGCCTGTAGCCGGAGGTCAACCCCCACTCAGCATCAGAGAATTCATACTGGAGAGAATCCTCATGAATGCAGAACATATGGTCCAGCCTTTGTCCATGGCTGCGGCCTTGGGCCACATGGACAGATTCACACTGGAGAGAAATGCTGTGTGGGATGGGCATGACAGACCAGCTGTGGTTCAAACTTTGTTCTGCACTGGACAAGTCACCGGAGAGAAATCCTGTAGGTGTAATGAATGAGGAAAACCTTTCAGTCCCACCTCACATCACAGTGAACACCAGAAAACTTGTGCTGGAGAAAAGCCCTCAGTTGGGGCTTATGAATGTGAGCTTGCCCTGTTCCATGTCCACCCCTACGTGGTCCATTCAATCTCATCTTTGCCATCCTAGTCCGGGCTTGAAATTGAGATTATCTAGTTTCAGTCCTACACAACTGCCTCCATGTGTGTGCAGAGAACCTTGCCCATTGGGCATATTCAAGCCTTATTCACCATCAAGCTGGTCTGGTCTGTCTTCCCCTCCAATCCAGAGTCACTGCAGTGGGAGACCCTGCCTAACTTTGAGCCCCAGTGTTCACATTTGTAAAATGAAAATTTATTTATTTTTCATCCTAAATAGCTCTGTAGTTCAGCCAGGGAGGTACCTCAGAAGCCATCAAGGCAGGGGGCTGGCTGCCAAGTAACCTACTTTTGGAATTGTAATTACTGGTAAGTCAGGTTTACGCAAGAATAATTTACATACAATAAAATTCACTCTTTTTGGTATGTAGTCCTATGTGTTCTGACAAAAACATACAGTTCCCGCCACCACAGTTGAGATCTGGAACATTTCCATCACCACCAACTTCCCGTAGGCAACCCCTCCTCACCCTCAGCCCTCGAAGACACGGGTTTGTTTTCTAACCCCTATACTTTTGCAATTACATAATCATTGTGTGTAGACTTTTGAGTCGGGATTCTTTCACTAAGTGTATCTGAGATTCATCAATGGTGCTGCGTGTATCAATAGTCCCTCCTTTTCCTGTTGAGCAGCTTTCCGTTGTGTGGATAGAGCGGTTTGTTTTCCCATTCACCCACTGAAGGGTATCTGGCTTGTTTCCAGTTTGGGGCAATGATGAATAAAGCTGACAGGATGTTTTGTGAACCTAACTTTTCAGTTCTCTTAGGTAAATAACTAGAAGTGGGACTCTGGGTTATACAGTAAGCTCATGTTTAACTTCTTAAACATCTGCTAAGCTGTTTTTCAAAGTGTACCATTTTAAATTTCCACTGGCAACATATAAGAGTTCAGTTGCTGTGAATCCTCACAGAACTTGGTATTCCAAGTTTTATTCTAGCCATGTAAGTTTGGACATAGTGGTATCCATAGTTTTAATCTGCATTTCCCTACTGACTGTGATTTGAGTAATAGACTTCTATTTAAAGTTTCACTGGAAGTTTGAAACTAGTTCCGTGGACTTGTTAATTTCTATAGTCTGACCACCCTGACAACCCAACTTTTAATTCTGAGACTCCACCTGGAGGAATCTTTTCTCTAACCTACTCTTCATTCTCTCCAGGAGCAACTCAAATATTACCTCTTCAAGAAACCTCCTCAGTTAATCTCTGCTCCACCCTTGCTGTTTTTTCTTAGGAATTTGGGGCCACTTCTGCATTTGGTTTAACATTTGCTCTGTGATTGCTTGACTTATTCCACCTGCTCATGTTCTGTCTCTCCTGTTATATTATTAAAATTCTTAAGTACAGAACTTCTTGTAGGTGTGGGCTTGGCCAGCCCTAGTGTGGTCCGTGTGGAAAGGTCTGCAGGACCCATCTGAAGGCCTGTGCTCTAGCTCCCTTCTGCCTTAGACTTACTCTGTGAACTTGGGTAAAGCATTTCTTCTTGCTGGGTCTTTCTGATCCTAAAATGGGGATAAAAATACAGGAGAGTGTGTGTGTCCCTGTGATCCATGGTTTTGCTTCCTGCAGTTTCAGTTACCCACAGTCAACCCTGGTCTGGAAGCAGACGATCCTCTTGATGTGTTGGCAGGTCGGTAGTGGGCTATCACTTTGTCACATCATTCACCTGACTCCATCTCATCATGTAGGCATTTTAGCATCTCACATCATCATAAGGATGAGTACAAGATATTTAAAGAGAACACATTCGGGGCGCCTGGGGGGCTCTGTCGTTAAGCGTCTGCCTTCGGCTCAGGTCATGATCCCAGGGTCCTGGGATAGAGCTCTGCATCGTGCTCCCTACTCTGCGGGAAGCCTGCTTCTCCCTCTCCCACTCCCCCTGCTTGTGTTCCCTCTCTCGCTGTGTCTGTCTCTGTCAAATAAATAAATAAAATAAAATAGAGCACATTCACATAACTTTTATTATAAAATAGCTATGACTGTTCTATTATTACTGTTATCTCTTACTGTGCCTAACTCATAAACTTCAGTATTCCTGGCTTCAGGCATCCATGGCGGGGTGGGGGGAGTCTTAGAACACATACCCATGGATAGGGTGGACCCCTATACTTGTTCCACTTGATGTATATCCTTCAGAAGAAGACCTCTCCTACTTTTGTATCCCACAGCACAACCTTCATACCCACGTCATATCACAACTTATGTTTTATTTTACTCCCGCCTGGTTCTCCTACATTACACCTGGAGCTCTTTGCTGTCAGAGATTTTGTCTTATGCACTTTTATATTTCCAGCATGTGAGATGGGTGCTTCAGCATGTTTGGGAAAAAAAAAAAAAAGAAGGAAGGAAGAAGGAACAACAGTGTCATGAAAGTACATTGTCACTTGAGGGCAATATGTGAATGGTGAGCACCACAACGCAGTGCATTTCTGCCTGTGTCACACTGTGAATGACAACCCTGTTCCTCTTAAACTACTCGAGGGTCCCACAGTGCCAATCCTTCCCCCCCCCCCCCCCCCCCCCCCCCCCCCGCCCCCCCCCCCCCCCCCCCCGCCCCCCCCCCCCCCCCCCCCGAGAGAGAGAGACAGAATGCGCACAGGGGATGGAGCAGAGGGAGAGAGAGCACCGTAAGCAGGCTCCACACCCAGCACCAAGCCTGACATGGGGCTCGATCCCACGACCCTGAGATCATGACCTGAGCCAAAGTCAAGGGTCGGACGCTTAACCAACTGAGCCACCCAGGTGCCCTAGTGACGATCCCCTTTAAAAGCGCACATCTCAAATCTGTACCTGGAGGAAGCATCAGCGCAATCACGGCTCACATGTGGCTGTAACTTGCTGCCCTTGCCTACTGCAGAATCAAGGAAAATTCATGGTTGAGCAACTGGGGAATGAGGGAACATCTCAGGTGCTAAAAATGGAAGAGTGAAATGAAAATCAGAGTTTCAAGCTAGTAACTGAGCTACGGCAGTTCCCGGGGCCTTTGCTTATTTACAGCCTCTGTGGAGACAACAGATGAGGCCTGGCTGAGTCCAGGATGATGGTGGGATCCTAAGCCCCTGTCCAGAGCTGGACCCCAGAGGGCTAGCCCCTCTGTGTAAAGGTAAACTAGGAAAAGTCCATCTGCTTGCATGGAGGTGCTGCGCTGGGAGTCCATGGAGGCCAAGGTGACCAGAATTTAAAGGGAACAGAAAACTGCACCACCACAAACTGAGGTAAATACCTGCAAATAAGCGTCTGGAGCTACTGAAAATGACAGAGCAGGCAGTTAGCTACATATGAGCTGGAGGCAGCGGTGGTGGGAACTAGGGATTTTTGTGGTTCCCAGCTCCCGGAGCCTTGAGAACAGTAACAGCAGGCGCAGAGCACGCACTCTGCTTCCCAGCCCGTGTCCTACAACGTCCTCTAGCTTCGTTATAATATATTCGCACCGCGGCTCTGACACCCCCCGTCCCACCCTGTCGGGGAAGATGGCCATGACCGCCGGCGGACCTCGTCGGGCTAACAGCTCACTCTCCTGAGGGGTAAGAGGAGTTCCTTGGCTGATGAGAAACCACCTCAGTCGGAGACCACCCCAGCTCTGACCCATGACCTATGCAAACAGGAAGAAAGGCCACCCCGAGTCCAGTGGGTCGCCCTCCGGGCGGGCGGCTCCCCCACCTCGAGCGCACTCTCCCCGCTAAGCCGCGCTGCGCTTGCTACCTTCCCTTGGCGGTGTCTGTATTCGAGGGCGGACCCTTCGGAGGGAACCCAAGAGCCGGGCTCACAGTCACACAACGCTGAACCTCCCACCGCTGACAAAACGCCTCCATCAGGTCTTTCCAAACTAAGGGTGGAAACGGGCTCCCCTCCCAGGAGAAACGCACGAGAGGTCAAACGCAGGCATGAGAGGAAGGGCCATCTTTTCGCGCCTTGTTGAGCCTGCCGTCAAGAAGCAGGAGCAACGACCAGAGCCCTCCTGCGGCTGCCCGCAAGGGTGGATGCAGAACGGCAATGTAAGCTGGGCGGCGGCTTCGCAGACTAAGGCTTTGTCCCAACTGAGAGGACGCCTGTGGCCGCAGCCCCTGCCCCACCCTCTCCCTCGGGCCCTTGCCACCCTCACGCACCCGCCCCCCGGCGTGCTCCCACTCCCCACAGCTGCCCTCGGGGCTGCCCACAACCACTCTTCGGGTCCGTCACGGCGCGCCGGAGCTAGCCACCGCCAGCGGCGCGCACGCCTCCGCCAGACGCCGCCACGGGCCCAGCCCGCCCACCGCCCAGGCGCGGCCAGAGGCGGCTCCTCAGGCGGGTCTTCCGGCGCCGGCGGAAGTTGGCTTCGGAGCGGGGTCTGCGCACGCGCGCTGGGGCCGCTCTAGGATGTCGGAAGGACGCCCGACTCTGTGGTTGCTCCGCCGCTGCGCTGTCGGGGGGAGGACGGGTGGGCGAGTCCCAGGTGGCGCCTCCTGTCTTTCCTCTCTTCGATCCTCGACTCAGGAATTGCGGAGAGGCCCTTCTTTGCCAGCCCCGGTCCTAGCTACAGCGGTGACAAAGCAGCCGCGTCCCTTCCCCGCGGATCATAAATGACGGCCCCCGTTGCACGTCGTGGCGGCTCGGCGCTCCGGCAGGTGAGGGGCTCGTCCCGACGGGGTGGGGGTGGCTGACGTGGGCGGTGCCGGGGCTGGGGCTGGGCCGCCCCCCCCCAGCACGTGACGAGGCCGGATTGGGCGTCCAGGGCCCGGGGGGCGGGACGCGTGGGAGGGCGGCCGAGGCGGCGGGGACGGAGCCCCCGGGCTGTTGCTGAGGCGGGAGGCGGAGGAAGACTCGGCTGACCAGCCCGCGGATGCTCTGACTGGAGCGACCGGCCCCCGAAGGTATGAGAGGAGGAGCCCTCAGGCCGGCCGGGGAGGAAGCGCCGGGGCTGCCTCGCCCGGAGACGCGGCCTGCGCTGGGCGGGAGCGTCCGCGTCGTGGGCGTGAACGTGGGCCGTGCGTGTCGGCGCCGCTGATGCCGCTG